GAACATATAAAGAAGCTGGTAATCAATGTATAATAAATGCTAACAGAGCTGAGAAATTACAACCTTACTACAGTGTAAGTTGAGGTCCAAAAAATGAGCAGGATGGGGAAAAAGCACTCTCTGTGGTGGCCCACCAGAGACCACAGGGCAAGGGCTGAGGAAGAGCTGTTTGGTCTCCGGCTCCATCTCAGAGAGAAGCTGCCTCTGGAATTGATTCCCAGGCTGCTGGTATAACGTGAAAGTTCCAGAAATAGGCCCTGGGCTGAAGATGAAAGGTTTCCTTAGGATCCAGGTTCCCAAGGCCATCATGAGGGACTTGGAGATCTCATATCTACAAACATGGAAAGCCAGTCTCTCCACCCAGCTTTAGATAACTACGTGGTTTGGGGGAATGCCACGATCAAGAACCTGTCTCAGCAAGCACAGCTAGCAGCTGCTGAGAAATTCAAAGTTCAAGGTGAAGCTACCTGAAACATGCGAGAAAAAGACAGACTTCTGATTAAGTGGAGAGTGAAGAGGGGAAGTTAATGTAACAGACGTGAACATTAAGGACATGGAACTGGTCATGTCCCAAGAAAATGTGTCAAGAGCAAAGGCAGTCAGGACAGCAGTCATGACATTGTAAAGGCAATTAGCAATTAGAAATGCAGCACCTGAAAATGAGAACTCTTGTTTATTTCTGTGTTTTAAAAGAGTGACTGCAGTTGGTTTGAAATTTGTGTGGTTTTTTTTTGTTTGTTTTTTTGTTTATCATTAATGCAGTTATGTCTTCTAGTTCCTACTTCTTGGCCCATAGATACTACTTTAAAGGAAATGATCAGAAAAATGCAAAGAAAAATTTCTGTATGGATGCTTATACAAACATTATTTATAATAACCCTGCCCCTGCCCTTTTCCCATAAAAAACAAGACAGAACAAAAAAACCACACACACACACCCCAGATAAAAAGGGGCAATAACCTAAATATCCTATGAGAGAATAAATAAATGGTACATGCATGTAATGTATGCCATCTCATAGTTAATATATGTATTTTAGAAGGATATGAGAAAATGATCAAAATACTCTTGTCAGTGGAGTAGAATTCCCTTAGTGGAACCATAATGTTTGGGAAGACTAGAGGGTTTAGTTAATTAGCAAAAGAAAATCTTTCTCAGTATGCATTCCTAAAGACTAGCTGGTGGAGACGACTTATTATGTAAATAGAATTCTTGGTCTTTAAATCCCCTCCTACAGGCATTGGTTAATCTCTCTCCTCTGGTTCTCACCTCTGTATCCCTGATTGAAATCCATCTAACCCATTTCAAGTTTTCTTCCTCTTTGTCTTTACTGGAGTCTATACCTATTCAGTTGGTACTGTCCAGGTGGAGTGCATGGGGTTAGGGAAGGGATCTCCAAATCTTCTGGCCCATCAGAGAGGGGCAAACAAAAACAAAATAAAAAAGAAAGTCCTTGCACAGCATATGGCTCCCTTCCTAGCAGACACCTCTCTGACTAGCCTCTGCTGCATGATTATTCCAGCAGTGACAGTGGCTCCTTCCTCCTCTCACCAATGCCCCCCTCCTCGAGGGGCCTTCTGCTGTGGAGGGAGAAGCTTCTTGGCTGTAAATGCATGTTTGTTATTCCTGGGTGGCAAAATATCTCTTTCGTTTTCAGTATTTTTCAAAATTTCAACAAATAGCATCTAAGTAGGAGAGGAAAAAAGAATTTCCCCTCTACCCTTCTAAGTTCTTGGCTAAGACTCCCCTGTAATAAAAAAGATTAATAGAAGAAAAGCAAACAGAAGTTTACTGGTAATAACATGTATGTATACCTCCTGTACTAGTATATGTGGGTAACTCCTCTAAATGGTCAAGCCCAGCTCCTTAAAGAACATCTTCAGCTAAAGACAAAAGAAAGGTTTTGGAGGAGGGGCAGCTATGGGAGGTGACCAGAAAAAGCACAGTAAACAAGTATATGGTTATTATGCAGATTGAGCTCATTCCGTTCTCCATTGATAAGAGTTTCTAGAGGTTTAGGGTCACCCTTCTGTTCCTGATACAGAGCTGTAGACACCCTACAAGCAGAGATTTTCCTTACAAATGTAAATGTCCTGGCTTGGGAGAAGGGGATGAAAATGGGGGACATCTGTAATACTGTCAACAATAAAAAATAAAAAAATGCAAATCTCCTTTTATTAAAAGTAACCTCTTGGTTTTTAGAGCTTTTCCTGTATCTGCTGTTACTGAAAAATAATCAGTTCAATATAATCCTTATGCGAAGAGGCAATTTTGGGGTGCCCTATTCTGCTTCTTTTTATTTGCAAATGATAAAACTTGAAAAAAATTCAATCAATGTCATATTAAATATTTTCTTTCTGTCTGTCTAAGAGTTACGAACATGATCTCTTTGACAACTGGGGATTTCTTGTGTGTGTTTTTGGTTTTAAAACCCACGTTATTAGGATTAACATTTTCCTATACAAATTTTTGCTTATCACTACTACCCGTGGGTATCATTCTCATTACTGCCATCAAATATTTCTTGTTATTTAGTAAATGGATTTCAGCATAAATATATATATATATATATATATATATATGTGTGTGTGTGTGTATATACATATACATACATATATATGTATATATATATAGTATATATTTATTTTAGAAATTTTAAAATCTAAATTACTGGGAGTTTATAATTTTTCAGGTGTAAAATTTGGCTTCCATCTTAAAACCAAAATATTTTTTAAAATCAGGGGAAAGTCTGTTCATTGAGCACTGAAAAAGATAAAAAATAAGCTGAAAGGAGGTAAATCTCTCCACTGTTATGAGTTACCTCTTGCACATATATTACTTTTAATCTATTTTAAATTAGCTTTTTATTCTGAGCATATGTTCTTGCATTATGCATAACCTGTTCAGTTGTTGGCAGCGATGTAGGCTCTGGATTCTTGACTTTGTGCAGGAAAGTTTTCACAATATGAGCCCAGGTGATTTTGAGAGTACATTTATTAAAGTTGGGGGACAGGGAAAACAAAGGAAGGGCTAAGATAGAAGAAGCAAGATTATATAATAGTAGTGAGACTAAGCATGGCTGCTTTGGCCCTTTAGAAAGAAAGTCACAGAGACAGAAGAAGTGAGCCAGCTGGCTGGGTGGACTCAGGAAACAAGTTACCAAGGCTAAAGAAGGGTCCTTGGAGAAAGAAAGCGAAGATATGTGCCTTAAGATAAAAGGGGGTGGGGGGAGAGGGGAAGGTACAGATGTGTGTGTGTGTGTGTGTGTGTGTGTGTGTGAGAGAGAGAGAGAGAGAGAGAGAGAGAGAGAGAGAGAGAGAGAGAGAGAGAACGAACTAGGTCCTTTGCCTTAAGGATTTTTACCTTTTTCCTAAAGGCAGTAATTATAGCGGAGGAGAGGATCTCAATAGAATATTCATCAGCTTTCCTGGTGTGTCCTTTCAGGGGTGTGGTCTCTATTGATAGATTGGTGCTAGGGTAGGGGGTCATTGTTCATTGTATCTTGTCCTGAGGTCAGCCATGGAATTGCTTCGCTTCATCTGGTTTTGCTGCTTTCCTGGGCCTCCAGTGATTTGACGCTGATCAGAACCTCATTGTCTTAATGCTTGAAGGAGAGGTCTTGCAAGGGAGAAGGAGGCAGGTGAGTCAGGGTGCTGGATCGGGCCAGTTTGAATCAGTCATCTGTCTCAGTCTCCCCGTTCCATTTGCCAAGGAGTTTTCCTAGCTTTTTACTATCCTGCCTCACAATTAGTCTTGGTATGCTGTCTTTTTACCCCTATTTGTTTCTCTTAAGATTTAAAAAAACAACCTTACATTAATATTTAACCTTTTTTTTTTTTTTACTACCGAAAACCTTTTTAATAGAATATCCTTCTTTATGTAGTTAATGATTTCCCTTTCAGTGTTTCTTTTAAAATTCTGACTATTTCTTTTATACTCAGATCTTGGAAAGAGTTTTGCTATTACTTAGGGTGGGTGTTCTCTATCTTGGCACTATTGAAGTTTTGGGCCAGACGATTTTTTGTTGTGGGGAGCTGCTCTCTATATCATAGGATCTTCAGCAGCATCCCTGGCCTGTACCCAACTCCATTCCAAAGCACCACCCACTTGTGTGACAACAAAAAATGTCTTCAGACATGGACAAGTGCCCCCCAGGAATGGGGGAATAGGGGTGGGATGGGGAGTGGGAGTGGGAGTGGTCAAGTTGCTCCCTGTTAAGAACCACAGAGCTAGGGTGACTTTTGGCCTTGTGTTACCATGTTCAATCATAAATTATCCACAAATTATTATCTGAAACAAGTGAACAGGCCTTTTGCAGCAGGATATTGTTTTCAGACAGTAGACAGATAAGAGCCTAGGAAATATCACACTTTCTCAGCAAAATGCCCCACTCACTCCTGTTATTTTCTTTCTGCCAGTGGCATCAAAAACAATTTTGAAGAAGCTTGGCTATGATGCTTCATGCTATCAATCAAAAAAAGGCCAGACATGTAACACCTCCAGTCCTACTCCAGTATTCTAGCTTTGCCTGCTACGAAGGAGCAGAAATGTAGATGAAATTCAAGTTTACCTCTGTTAAAAACAAGACAGCAAGCCCAAAGTGGAGTTGCTTAATTACACTTTCTCTCCTAGAAATAGAATCTTAAACCAGTCAATCAGGTATCACCCAATTTGCACTAGTTAGGTCATCTGACAGATAAGACCCTGCACTCCCCTAAAGCAGCAATTTTCAACCTTTTTCATCTCATGGCACACATAAACTAATTACTAAAATTCTAAATAAAGCACACCAAATATATATACATATATATACATATATAT